ATCAGATTCTGAGCAAATGTCAAAATTTCTCTAAGCTATGCACGGAAGTAATGGACAAAATATGCAAAATCATAGAAATACGCCCCTAATGATAATACTAGTCAAGGGCAAATATTTGTGCTCCGTTCCCAAAGGTAAGCTTCAGCATCTTGACTGTCCTCTATATAAAATTCTCTCTCCTCAAATACGGAGTTTTCCAATAGCTGACTCGTCCATCTACTCCTTCTGAAGCCATATTGCTCTTTTCCAATGATCATTCCTATCCTTCACTAGTCTTCTGTTTGTATCTACAAGCGTTACCATCGCTACATGTAACATACGACTTATGATTCTATGTTTGCTGGTCTTTTAAATGAACGTATCAACAAACCTCAACCATATCTTATCGATTTTAAACGGTATCAACTACACCCCCCAAAAACACCTATTTTTAAAAGGTTTTGTTACAACTGCTTCAATTTCAGTTAAAAGTTTTAAGAAGGTCTCTGTATGGAACATAATTCTAGATATCTACAAGCTTCGACTATTACAGAAGAAAAAAAACTGACACTAGACATCTATTACATAATCATCGATCGGAGTAGGTTATAGAACTGGTGGCAAAGGTTAGATGGCAGGATTCCCTCTCTGTGTCGAGTGAAGGAGTAAGTAATGGATGTCTACTGTCAGCTGTTTCGCAGTTTTGTTTCTTCTGTAATAGTCGAAGTTTATAGATTTCTAGAATTATGTTCCATTCCGAGGACTTCTTAAAACTTTTAACTTTAATTTTTTTCCCAACATCTGCTTTATTTGCAATTTGTTCTACTCGAACATTCGGCAAATACAATTGTACATACATTATTGACATGTAAAGAAACCATCCAATTCTGGTTCTTTCTAAAAATGGTTTTAAACTAATTGTCCAATTCAGAGAGAAAAACAAAACAAACAAGAACAACAATAAACAACATCATATTGAAATAACAATAAGACAATAACAAACAAACATACAATACTGCAAGCATTGTGACAAAAAAATTATATCTACAGTAACAATTATTTTTAAGAAAAATATTATTTATATCTGTGGTCCAGATCAAGAGGATGTACTCTTTTCAATCTTCTTGTCATTGTGCTGTTATCTAAGATGTTTATGGCCAGATGATTAATATGCTTTTCGAGTCTGTGTTGGTATTTATGAGATTTGAGAGTGATTTCCTCTTTAACAGTGGTGATATTGAGATCTTTATGTAGAGTGGCGTTTGATACACACCAGGGAGCATTGCTTAATGATCTGAGACATTTGGATTGAAATCTTTGAATTATTTCTATATTTGAATGTGAAGCTGTTCCCCAGAGTTCAATTCCATAAGACCAGGTTTAAGTATTGTTTTGTAAAGTAAAATTTTGTTTCCTAGACTTAAACAAGATTTTCTTCCTTTTAACCATATCATTTGTCTACTTTTCAGTTCTGCTTCCTTTCTTTTAATCGAAATATGTTTCTTCCTGGTAAGCGTTTTGTTGACATGTAGTCCGAGATATTTGATGGTGTCTACGTTTTCAATTAGTTTTCCGTTTATTTCTATTCTTGTATTTCTTGTTCGTCTGAGGGTAAATGTTATACATTTGGACTTTGTTTCATTCATTCTTATTCTCCAGAGTTTACACCATTTGTTTAACTTTAATTGATGCTCGAAAAAGTGAATCTGATACACTTTTAAGTAAAGTAATAACAACACCTGTGTTTCCATTTGCTGAATGTTCATGAAAGTATTATTAACACATAGGGTTATGTATACTTTTCATTTCAAGCTCCAATACTTATAAATAAAGCGGTAATAGTAAGGTAATAATAATAGTCATAGGTAAGATAGTAATAATTATCATGGGGTTAGCCTATATATCCTATAATGTATTTTTTTTAAAATCTGACCTCTAAAATAAATATTTCTGGGATAAACTAATTTTGCAAGCATTTGTGTGAAGGTGTTCATGAATTGAAGTGGATGCAAGAAAAAGATAAGTGAAGATTTTCAATTATTTTCAGATACCACTGCTCTCTTCCCACAGCTAAAGCTGCAAAAGTCTGTAAATAAAGTTGACAGGAAAAATTGATTTTTTTAAATGTTGCATTAAAAGATTTAAAAAATCTCAAATTTTAAATCACTATATAATCTAAATGGCAGGCAGAGACAAATAACAAAAGAAGTGTGATTTTATCACTATAAAGTAAGGAGGCATAAAAATGGATTAAAAACAGAAACTATCTCTGTTCAGAAGGTATATATTCCAAAATAAAAATGGTAGATAAAATTTCATACCATATTTAGATATATTAATATATGTCTCTCTGAAAATTAGGAAACTAGTACTGTGGTTCGTATTTTAAAGTTAGGGAGTCAGACGTGTAACTAATACAATAGACCTATTAGTCTGACATCAGCTTACAAAAATATGGAGCAGTTGGTGGCAGAATACATTGGTCAAAAGAGGGAAAAGAGGAAGATTTTTTCGCAATCACCGCGGTTTCAGGTGTTGAACTTGCGCGAGAGCCAAAGCTCGTGTCTTCCAGAATTCGGCTGAAGAAATGGAATCAGGAGGCAAAAGGAACTTTGTAAGTTTATACTTCTGTGAAGTGACGATAAACAATAGCTTCCACTTGAAAAAGAACAGAACACTCAGAATATTTACTGAACACACCTACGAAAATGAGGATGTCACTTCTCTGGAATTGAGAGGCAAGTCATATGCGGTTTTCAGACTCTTCTCAGCCAATTTTTAAATTGTATCTAATTACTTGGTTTGACAGAAGAAAGGTTAAGGGTTTTAAAAAATATAATAAAAAAATGTTTTTATTCACCAGGGAACGTGCAGGTAACTAGAGATAGAATTACTTAAAAAACAACAAAGCTCTGAAAAACTTACGTCCACCTCTTTGCATGTATTATTTAACATTCTCCCTCCGAAAAAGGATTCCATGTTTTTCAGTCTGAAGCGGGGATAACACTTCATCAAAATAACTTCTTTTCGTTGTTTGTAATATGTCGGTATTTAAATTTCGTTGCGGAGATGGGAGCGAGGGGCAGAAGCGCGGTTCGACCAACCCCCTCCAGGGGCGCCACTGGCCGCGGAGATGTCTCCGGGTCCGCCCGAGGTAAACAGTTCCCAACCCCCCCCCCCCTCCCGCCTTTGCTTTCTTCCACTTCATTGCTAACATCAATTTTTTTCTGTTCCAGAATCTTCAAACCGATTATGTTCAATAGATGAATACCGATGAAATTTCCCATTTCTGCTAAATTTTATTTAATTTAATTGTATGGAGAGCGAATAAGTAAAAAGTTTTGTCAGCAAGAGCGAGAGCATGCAAAATTATTTCTAGTGAAAAAGTACTGCATAATGCAAAAGAGACAATAAAGGTTTCTTATAAAAAAATGTGTAAGGAATGCTATTGAACTTTTAATTGTATCTTTCGTTTCTGACCTATTTGACACATAATTCTAGGTTTATTTACAAACATTTCCCGTGTAATAAAAATGTTTTATACGGAAATATTTCTTGATATACAAAAGAAAATGACGGTCTTCACCTTAGTAGCAATCAAACGTACTATGTGTATTTCAGAAAGCAAATCACCCGGTTTCGATATCGAATCCCTTGGCTCCGGACATTTCAAGCTTCACATCGGATGTGATTTAAATGAAAGGATAAAGTACATTCCCAATGAATTATATCAGAAAATTATAAATAAATATTTTACTGAAACTAATTTTTAAGAAAATGTATTTGACACCAAATTCTACATTTATTTAGTATTGGTAATATTCAGAAATTCGGTACATTAAATTGCAGTTTCAATAAATCTAATCATATATACATTTAGTAAATCGAAATGAGCTAAATATTCGTTATATGGGGATTGAGAGATTGGAATCAAAAAAGAAAATTATTGAGGTGAATTTAAGAAGAAAATTATTAAGATATATTTTTTTAATTTAAATCAGCATACTATTTAATATTTTAAGGTATGAGATTTTTCGTGTTTTCAAGTATAGCAAATAATTTTAGAGTGGGGAAGAACTTGAATAGTGAAAAATACAGAGCTACTGTGACTTGCATTCTTCAAATGCGGTTGAACAAAAACTCAAAATGTTTTTTCTAAAATGTAGCAAGCACACTGCTTAAGAATGAAAAATATAACTACCGTAAAACACTACAACAAATTAAATATTTTAACAAAACACGTTTTCATGCATACTGAATATATATATATATATATATATATATATATATATATATATATATATATATATATATATACATTTATTAACATTCTCCATAACGAAACACGTGAATAGTAAATATTTAATGGTGGGCAACTTCTTCCTTAGAGCCTTGCTATAGCAGAATATCAACAGTGTTGTAAGCTGTGACGAACTGGATATGAGCATTCAGTAGGTACGTGCAGTATGAGAATAGACGGAATAAAACACCCAATTATTTGCATTTTCAATCCAAACACACGCTGTTTTATTACGTTTGGATTTTTCATGGATTCCTGGTTATTTATCAAACTATAAAGAACTCTCCAGGACCGGTCTACACAGTTCGCTTTCAATTTCTGAGAGCATTGGAAGTTAGCAATACAGAAGATATAATTGTGTGAATTTATTTATTGACTAGACGGGTGTTACCTCATGGAATTATAGACTATCGATGCATAATACTTTACACTTTTTTTAATGACGAAATAAATTATTTTCCTTTACATGTATTAGTGAGATCGGACTACATTATCAAGTACAATGTCCTGTATAAAAACAAACCGTGTGTTTATGGTAGAAAACGTGTAAATGACCGTCGTTTATTAAAACATTTAAATAATGAAGGCAGAGCGTAAAGTGGACGCACATATATAGACGCGTTGATGCTCAAGTGAAGTGAGTACCGGTCAATTACCGGGAACAGGCGCGAGTAACGCACTCGTATTTGCCCCTAGCGGCACGGCGTGAGGCCGTTCCTACCTGAGCGCAGGCGAAGGCGCAGCCGAGGGCGCAGGCGGAGGCTCAGTTGCGTGGGCGGCGCGGGGCGGTGGGCGCCATGGAGCTGCCGCTGGGCGCTCGCGAGCACTGGCGCTGCCCTGGCCCGGCCGCCCCGCCCCCGCCCCCGCCACGCCCCCCGCCGCGGCCCCCGCCCCACCAGGCACTGCTGCAGCGCCGCTGATTCAAATATTCAGGAGCCCGACCGCCCGCCCCGCCCCGCGCCCAGCGCCCCGCGCCCAGCGCCCCGCGCCCAGCGCCCCGCGCCCAGCGCCCAGCGCCAACGCAGACGCCGCCTCCTCAGCGACGAGGACGCACAAGTAATATCCTACACTCCATTCCAACACACCACCCCCCGCCCCACTCGGCCAAATGGGTATCGCCAACAGGGGGGCGTGCAGGGAGAAGGGTAGGGACGGGACACGGAGAAAAGGGGTGACGAGACGGAGGTTGACGACTTGGGAGTGGAGTAGGGGGGAGGACAAGATGGTAGGGGTGAAATAGATGGGAACGCAGGGAACTAAAAGGAGTGGGTGAGTGCCCTCGGGCAGGGAGAGGGTGGGATAAGAGCAGCAACGAGTGGCGGAATGCACAAATTATGGGCAGAGGAAAAACGAATGTGGCGGCAGCGTGGACGAATGGAGTTGGCGGAAGGGCGAACATGGAGCCGAGTTGGGAATGCAGGGATCTAAGAGGAGTGTGTGAGTGATACGAGGTGAGGATGCGAAGAGCGACGACAAATTATGAGCAGCAGAAAAAGAAAGGTGATAACCGCGGGGAAGAATACAGGGGAAGGAAGGGCAAACATGGAGCGGGGATGGGAACTCAGGGAACTAATGCGTGAGTGACCTGGGGCGGGGCCGAGGTGGGATAAGAGGAGCGAAGAGTGGCGCAATTCACAACTTATGATAGGTGTTGTGGTAGGATATCTTTGGCATTTTTAAAATAATTAAAGATGTTGTCATTGCCAACAATGTTTTTTAATTCAAAAAGGTAGTCGTTTTGTGGCTTCCATCTAGCAGACAACTGATGATGATGGCTAAGCCATCGAAACCTGCTTTTGAATTAAAAAACATTGTTGGCAATGACAACACAACTTATGAGCCGAAGAAGACGGAAGTTGATAGCAGCGGAGACGAATAGAGGGGATAGACATTCTCTCCAACTCTCGCTTCTGCTGCGGGCCAGGGGAGTCGTTCCGGTAATAGCAGCTACAAAAGTCCCGCGACGTTTAAACCAATCATTGTTGGCTCTCGCGGTGCAGCTTATGTGTGTCATTCAGCATCGCTCCGAACCTTCGAAAATTTTGACTACGAAATAGTTTCCAGTGACCAGAATTATTCAGTTTTAGTGTATTGGGAGTTGTATGAACAAAAATGACTTACCCAGCACAAGGCGAATGATCAACGAAGCTCTGAAGTCGATATATAATTCGGGATATTCATCTGGCGTTGTCTCCGGTGAAGGCAACTTGGATTTCACGGATGGCATGGAATACGTCGAAATTGTGCATTATCTTCAACAAAATGCAAGTAACAACAACTATTTAGGACCGGATCATCAGGCTGGCCGGAGGAACACTTGCAAATACAGTCACAACAGTCTCTTGCTTTAAACCAACAATATCAGAACACGGTGATGTTCCAAGGAAAGCAAGCCAGCGATAACAATGATAACAGATACTTAAAACATGTAACCACAGTCAGCCTCCGGCAGGGTCTTACTAGGTCAATACAACGTAGAAATTAAAAAGAGATTTAGTTGGCTAAACAAAAAGATCCCAGTTGACCTAAGCGATGACAGTAAGATTCCATCAATTTTTGTTACTATCTTCAAAAATCAAGTTACTCTCACGAATGAAATAAAATCTATCGTCACATGCAAATTCTAACATGCACTAACTAGCAACATCGCATTCAAGAACCAAAAGATTATAATCAAATTCTAGTCTGACCGATTAAAAATCGCAGTTAAAAATCTCCAATAGCTCAAAAAAAGTATTCTAAAAAAATTAGCAAAAAATTATCATTAGTGATAAAAATATTCATCCTTCAATCTCAAAAGATGAAATTTTATCTGAAATGAATACCAAATTCAATTTTTCAACAAAATTTACTCGACTTTATAAAACGAATTACCCAATTCCAGGAGATGCATTAGATGGAGCCCGCAAAATTGAAGATATTTTAGAAATATAACCAATAGGAAATAACTCACTGAAACCAGAAAGAAGAAAGAAAATCCTCAATTTTTCTGCAGGGTTACAAGAGTATCAAAGCAGATAAAGAAAATTTGAAAGAAGGAGGAGTAATAATATTAATAAAAAACAATGTACAATACCAGATAACTCTATCAAACACGCCGGGTCTCCAAAAATCAGCATTAAAATAAAAATATAATAACATACCATAAACATGAGAGACTACAAATAAACCTCCAAATGTAAAAGCAATAGTAGCAACATCTTCACATTACTACAACTACCAACTCCATTCGTTATTGAAGGCGACCAAAACTCTGAACACATTCCATGGGCAAGATGGACTATCAATTCCGCTAACAAATATTTATAAAACTTGAAAAGGAACCCTAATCTCAACATATCACCAACCGAACCACTTATTTCCCCAATGATCAAAACAAAAATCCAGATATACTTGACATACCAGTAACAAATATTAAAACACCACATACCACACCCACAATATATCATGAACTTGAGTCAGACCGTATCAGTTATATCAACTCGCATAGGAAATACTCCGACAACACCCACACCTACCTTAATACTTATAACATTAATTAAAACTCTTTTAAAGGTTCCATAAACCATTCCATACCTTACACAACCTGAACTTTCCCGCAAGAAATGAATCAATCACGACCCTCAACAACATAATAATTAGTACAATTAACAACAGTCAAATGGAAAAAAACTAGTGGTTCAACTGAATGGCTCAAACTTTCCCGTATTAGTTTTCTATATATTTTGGTCTCGTCTAGCTATACGAAATTGCCACATACTCTTGCCAGCTACAATCTATCGAAGCCCGAAGTACATTTTTTTAACATTTACTTAATTTCTCGATTTCCTACTAGTAGAAACAAAATATTATTTTAGGCAAAGAACAGTAAAACCTTGTCATAAATGGCAATTTTCTTGGAAAAACTTGGAGCAGTTTTTAAGACAATGGCGTTTAAGCCCAACAGTAAATTCGAAATTTGAAGCTCTTTTTCACAGAAGACGGTTTTTCAGTTTTCGAAAAACCTTCATTTGGAGTATTTAATTCACATATATAATAATGTTTACAAATTGCTAGAAATGTGCATATTAAAGGCATTAGAGATCTTCCAAATAAATCACATATGTATAATTTTAGAAAAAAACAAACAAAACCCCAAAATAAACTTTTCGTCATATTAGACAGTGCAATTAGCACAACCCTTCGAACAGTTTGAAGACAAAATTTTGAGCTATGACATTCAGATCCTTCAACGCATGCGCAATACGTGTGCATGCGAGACGCAGATATGCTGTTATTGCAATCGGCTACAGCGACCCGAGTTTCCGGCGGGCCTATCGGGAATCCCCGAATCCGTTCGTTCCAACACGACAGGGGCACCAGGGCCCTATAACTCCCATATAACGTGGTGTGGACCATTACAGTGGCGCGCTCTAGAGCATCACCTTCTTACCCGAACTAAAATGCGAACAGCTACCAACGTTATTTAAAACGTGCATGGGTTATCGGAACCCAAACACACGCCCTTGATACAAAAGACCGCGCCGCTGTTCGCGCTACCTTTTCTTTCATGCGTGTATTATTATGAATAAATGAATTTTAGAAGATAAACAGATAGTATTTAATATGTTTTGCAAATTATTTAAGAAATCGCTTCTAATCAAAGTGTATTCGTATTTCTTGACCAATTTTTATGAGCGAAAGTTGGCGAGCCTTACCAGCAGCTGTATCCGGCGACACTAGCGAATCCTATAGTAGCATCCTCTAGCTTTGTCCCCAATTTTGATGGAGAGTTGCCGGGCCCTGAGGGCACACTCATGCGCCAAAATTGCGATGGGAAATCGTCTGCAGGTTGTGAGCCATTGTTTCAGGTACTGACTGCTCCGGCACCTGAAATTAATCAGAGGAAAGCACGAAAATGTGCTAGTGACCGACCTCATTTCAATATTTTAGCTGGCGGCGTCAATCTGCTCAAACGTAGACACAAACTCAACTTATCGGAACGACAGACCTCTTGTTGAAACCGAAGACTCTAAAAGAGGTGACAGGAAACACTATACCGCTACAAGTGCAATAAAATAACGGTGCACAAAATCACACTTTCGTTGAGAAAAATCTTACAGATGGTGTGAATGTTTAATCTAGGAATTTGCTTATAAATGAATTTAAAGATGTGATCATATTATTATAAAAATGCGAATATATGTAAACGACTCGTATGAGAGACATGAACAATAGAGTGCGAAATAAATTAATTAGCAATTACAATAAAAAAACATTGTTCACCCATTTGGTTCTATCAGTTTTTATAATACACATTTTCTAGTCTGTAAAATAAGTATTTCTTCAACGTCATTAAAAAAAACTGACCTGACTCGAATTATCAACAGCCGCCTGCTCAGCTGGCATTCTGTTCAGGTTACCGTGACCTTTCCACAACTGTTTACCCGAGAGACGTGTTCTCGAGTCGAGAGAGCTGAAATGAGCCAATCGCGCAACTTTTTTTGACGATGACCTTGCTTCCCCCTTGCTGGCACAATAAACTGTTGAAGACAAAAGCTCGCAGCGAGCACTGTTGACAACATTCCAAACACTTCTTCACTGGAGCGAAATAGAAACTATTTTCTCTTGAAGACGAGAGCTTCTGTCTGTGATTTTCTCCAAAAATGTAAAGAAACGACCGAGGCATGTGACGATCCATCACAGGAGTTACCTCAAACTCCTGAGAAAGTTAGAACGCATATTATTGAGAAAGTTACAAAGGCATTACTGATTCACCAGAGATTGGCATTGCCTCATAAAATCTAGTGGCCGATTACGTAACTAATACCCTCACTCTACCCGCATTTCTTCAATCCAACGTTTAAGAAAAGTTGCGCGAGTAATACTTAGTATTGGCATATCACATTGAAACATACTATATCTTACTAAATGTGAGAGTACGAGCCAGCTCCAGATATCCGTTGAGTTTTGGTTTTTCGTTCTCACAGGTGGGAAATAAATGTTACTACATTGGTTTGGCTGAAATTAGTATTAAATCAACAGTACCTTGGCAAAATAAGTTATTGTTTATTGAAATAAATATCGCTTTGTCACAAGGTAACAATCTCGCAATTAATTTGTCGCCAACGTACGTACATCTGCCATTTAAACCAAATGACCTACGCCAAGTCTCACTTTAAAAAGGCAGATGACAACGAAAATACCGCCTTCCCCAAAAAAACAGGTGTGGCACAAAGGTATGATTGAATGATTGTGTAAAAAGAAACGGACTCTATTGCTTCCATTTTTTCTTATTTTCAAGAAATAACTATTTTCGGTATGATATAGAAATAGTCGACGCGAGTTTAAACAAAATCACGGCACAGGATTCGTCAAATATCGGCTGTTAAACTTTTAAGAATTAGAACAATAAAAATTGACCATACTATATCAAAAGCTGTACAGATTGACGAAACAAGAGTTAAGTTTTAGAGATGATGATCTATATAGTTCTCACAACTAGGCAATAATTGTCATTTTGACATATTACAATTAAGAAAATCTGTTCTGGAGCCAACTCAGAAAAAATTACCACGCTACGCCACTCCCTATAGTATGTTCCCCATTGCAATTTCTCAGTGACAATGAATATTAAGTTTTGTCGAAATGACATTGTTTCTGCGATGAAGAGTTAAGCTTGAAAACGAAGACATACATATAGTACACAACATTCAGTACAGTACATTTTGGGGATATATTAATATTTTCGAGAATACATACATTTGTAAGGCAATGTTTTCACCAACGGTGAGATAAATAAGAGTATTACACGTAATAAATACATTTATTATAAGTTGATTAAAATATAACAAACGTGTGTAATTTCCACATTTTTGGATAAATGGAAAAAATCGTTTTCTTTGAAAAGCTATAGCTCGATTGGTTATTAGATTCGAAAAAATGTTTGATACAAAAGTTGTAGGAAATGTCATCAACTTTAAAATTGAATTAAATAATTTGTCTACGTGACGTAAGGTTAGAGTTATAAAGAAAAAACGGGAAAAAGTAAGTAAATTACCATTTTTTCGGGTCTCCCAGCGTTAGTACAGGGTCTAGGATGTCGAAAACTTGAGTTTTAACTAGTGGCAAAGTACATTCAATATATTTTAAGAAAATGTTGTTAAGACCGGTAACCCCATTTTTTAGTATCTACCCACTGGATTAGTACTGCTTTTCTAAATAATATTGACAATTCCATATTGAGAACAAGATATTTTTCTCAAAAATGGAAACACCCATTCACTCAATAGCAAAACCTATCACTGAATAGTAGTAAATTATACTGCGGTTTTCGCAAGTATGCCCCTTGGCAGGCATCAGCTGTTGACAGTTTCAGCAAATCGAGAGCTTAAACGCCACCATAGTGACGTTACTATGGTGACGTTCACGATTCCGATTGGATGAAACCGTCAACAGCTGATACGTGCCAGGGGCAGAATTGCAGAATCGCAGTTTAGAGTCCTATCAGCCACTGGGTGTTGACGCACCGTCAAGCGCTTCCCCGCGTGGTGGAGCTGCTGGAGAACATGGCGTCAGCCACGACTCGATGGTCTTTCTCCCTCAAGCATAGTGCTGCCTTCATCGACTGGCTTGTAAATGCATTTGCCATCCCACGGGGCGTTGACGCGCAGAGAGCCTGCCCGAGGCGTGGAGCAGCTGGGGGGAAAAGGTCTTGTCTCTCTTGCGCGCGAAGAGTTGGGGGAGGAAGGTTGACTGAGCTATCTTCGAAATTTGATCTATTTTATTAGTGTAATCTAGTTTTTTTTCATTTTTTTCTGCAGGAGTTGGACTTGAGTGGGATTTAGAGAAGTAGGAATACATTTGATGAGCAAATAAAGCAGTTACACGTGCATTGATTTTTACAAGTTTTATTTTGGTAAATATAACTTGTTAACCCTACAATACTAGTGGTGAGTAAAATTTACAGTGCCATAAATTTTAGCTGATGATATTCCTGTCGTAGTTTGTCAAGATTCCACCTCATAGTAGCTATTATTTACTCTTTGGTCTTTACAATGCGCTTCACCTCAGTTCTGTTGCGTTATTTTTCTTATAGTAAGGGGGCGTCTTGACTAAAATTTACCCACTACTACGGTGTTATGGAGCTGCGGTACAGCGATTCGCCAATTGATAGCCCCTTAAAAATTTTAACTATTACTTTGAAAGTTGCTATATTTCAATGTTAATTTAGAACTTCTGAAGTATTTGATAAGGTTGTTTGGTGATATTGTATAATATAATTGATAGCCCCATAAAAATTTTAATTATTACTTCAAAAGTTGCTATGTTGCAATGCTAATTTAGGATTTCTGCAGTCTTTGATAAGGTTGTTTAGTGATATTGTAATTACGAATCGCCTAATTTTCAATCGTTCCCTTGTGAATTGCGTTCACTGCCGAAGTAAATATCACTCCTCACCAGCGGCGAGCGCTGAGTGTCAACGCCGACGTTCGTCGGGGGCCGCGTCCTCCGCCAGTGTCCTATACTTGAGGAACTTGATCGCGAAGCCCTCGGGCTCTTCGCTCACCTGCAGCAGCTCCACGCGCGCCACCCGCTCGAACTGCCCCTGGCGGCCGTCGGCGACAGCCACGTCCAGCGCGTCGCCCTCGGCCACCTGCGCACCGCACGGGCTTTAATGAAGAATATGTCTAGCCAGAATCGATATAATCACGACGAAAAGCAGATGAGAATATGTATGCATGTAAACTGAGTCATCAAACAGATATAATCGGACACGCCATAATACTTCACGTACAATTTTTATATAAGTTAGGTGAAGTGTTACGAGATAAAATGAAGATGTTATTTTCAATACGACTGGCATTCATATCTTACGAAACAATATTAAAAATAAACAAATATTAAAAATAAGACTATGGGTACTCACTTGTGCGCTTTTCTTTGTCACTTTGCGGCCATTCACTTTTATTCTATTTTCATAAAACGCAGTTTCAATTTTGCTGAAAAAGATATGTTTTATAAATTGTATGTCATAACAAGATCAACACAAACTCTAATTACTGAAATTTCAAGAAATTAATATTAATAAAGTTCCTCAAAGAATACTTCGCAACATATATTTTCAACATTTCAACTAATGTTCCACAAGTTTGCAATTAATGGAACACCAAAGAAACTTTATTCTCCCTTGTGTTCAAATATTATTCGCCCTCTTCCCGTTTGCCGCACTGCACTCCTTCAAGAAAGCTGCTGAACATAACGTACGAGTACGTAGGAAGAAGAACTGCTGTGTTAGAGGGGACAGACGGAAATTTCCAAGTTTAAACAGGTGAACTGAGATGACGCTATTTCGAAAAAAACGATTAGCCCGTTGGCCTGAGGATGAGAATGTCAAAATATTTTAAGAATTTTCGCGACATTTCATGACACGATAAGAAATACTATCTGCTCACGTTTTTGCGAGCTTTCCGTTTTCCTAGACGTGACGGAGATTTAATACTTCGGTACCAGTGCCTTTAAGAAAAATCTATCGCTCGTTTGCCGTTGCAAATAGGGAATCTTACACGGTAGAGAAATTTTCTTATCAATTGTCATTACCAATCTATTGCCATTGCCACTTTATCGTAAAAAGAACCTTAAATGTTGTTTGTGACGTTTCAAAGACGCAAAAATTATTCACGTTTTCTAAGGCTCCTTAATCCTTACCCCTCTCCCTCTCTCTTTTACGTTGGTATTTATTTCACTTGGTTGAATCGTGAACAAATTCATCCAGCCTGGTTGCCAGCATTTGAAAATTAGTGAATTTCGCTTCCGGGCCATGCAAAACGTTTTGCATGGCTTCCGGGCCATTTTGCATCTGCGAAAATTCACGTTATTTGAATAAACAAAAGAACTGATTTTATAATTGCTGATAAAATAACGTTCTCCACCTTACTCCTAACGCAAAAAGATGGAGCGAATAGTGAAGAAACGTTCAGAAGCAAAGAAATACCTTCAAAATTTGTTTACAACAGAACGTTTCTGTCCGTCCGTATGCGAGCAACATTAGAACCGACACTTTTTATAGGATTCTCTCCAAAACTGATATTTCTCTATCTGGTGAAACTCAAAGCCTGCGAATTTGAAACGCATATTCTGATTTTTGGGGTACAATACATGAAGCTCCAAACAATATTTGCCAAAATTTGATTCGTATGTTGCTTTTGTTAGTATTAAATAAAGTTTTCTCAAATAACAAAACGCATTCACCTAAATCCCTTTTCCTAACTAACTCTAGAGCTCTATAATCAAAATGCAACTGATTTGAGATTAAGAAATCGCAGAAATGGAATCACGCGCCAGAAAAAAATTGCTCCACTACTTAAAAAAAAAAAAATCGCTTTCGTGACATTCACTAGATCAGCTGTAGCAACTGACACTCTTTACGGATACTGCCAATTAAAGGCTCAATCTAAATATTTCAATTCCAAATTTATAGTGAACAAGCTTGGGCCGCGACATTAATAGCATGCGTATACTTACTTCCTGGACATCTGCAGAGTTGCTTTCAAAACAATGTCCAATCTGAGAGACGTTACTTTAACTGAAAGCTCTTTGAATGCTTTGCTTTTAATATTGTCTTCCAATTCATAATTTTCGCTATTGTATGCACCTAAGGACACCTGAGAACAAAAAGATTTCCATTAGTAAAGTACGTTCGTCAGTGGTTAGCGGTACTTGGAAGTTATGAATGCATCGGCATATAAACTTGGAGCATTACGAATGCACATGTACCCACATGTTACATTAGTCTCTCGTAAGCGACCATGGAGTGATGATGCTGGTTTTCAATACGATATATCATGGACAGCGAATTATTGTCAGAAAAACTCTTATTACAGAGCTCTGGTAATGAAAACGTGGACAAATCCAGTTGCTAAATTTAGAAAAAAGTTCTCTAACACGTACTGTAGCCAGAAACCATGTTTTGTGGGTCCTTGATACGGAAAAATCAAATAACGGCAAAACGTGTCTGTCCGTCCGTCTGTGAACAACGGTCGCGGCTAAATCGTTCATCCATTTTGTCGAAAATTGATATTTCACAATCGATCTGACTGATATCGCGTCCCCTTGAATTTGAAACCGATATTTTAATTTAGGGGTGACATGAAGCCCATGGGACATTTTTAACAAAAAAAATGGCTCCGAAGTTATTGATTAAATTTTGTTGTTGGATAGGGTGAAGGACGTTTAAGAGAATGGTGCAGGTCTCATGTTTCTTGAAAATTCTGATTTTTCGTAAATTGCAAAAGTACACAATTTTTTCGGAAGTCTCCCTACCACTAAAATATTAAAGATAAAGATTTTTTCTTAATGAAATATGTTCCTTAAAGATAGATTTTGAAATAAGGTCATGTACAATTTTCGAAAATTTAAGTACTTTTCGCAAAATTTTGCGTGAAAGTAAAGGCGAGAAGTACGTGCTGTTTTAGTACCACTTACGACTATTTCATATGTAAACATTACTTGACAATTATATAAAAGTATTCTGTTTTATTACAGCGGACAAAAAGCAGGCGTCAATATCACCTTTTAATATCTGTGCGGCGTTACAACAATAGAGAACAAGCAACAATGACCGCTCCTGTTTTCGTTTTCACATTTAACACAATTTAAAATGAAATAACATAAATACAATATAATAATAATAATAATAATAATAATAATAATAATAATAATAAAATTAAATATGTAATAATATATACATTCTCACTTACGTAGCATCCAACTGTCTCAGAACACATTTAAAATTACGATCAAGAAGTGCAGGATTTTCAGAGCGGGCACAAACTTTGACGCCCAATTTCTCCAAAAATACTCATTTTCGAACATTTTAACATGAGACCTGCGCCATTCTCTTAAACGTTCTTCAGACTATCTAACAACAAAATCGTTGGCGCCATTGAAAATTTTGAAAATGTCCCAGGTAAAGTACCGCCAAAATTAAAATATGGTTTCAAATTCAAGGCGCTACAGAAGTCAGATCGATCAATTTTGGAGAAAATCAGCTGAACGGTTTAGCCACTAACGTTCATAGACGGACAAACTGACGTTTTGCCGTCAATTGATTTTTCGGTAACAAGGAGCCACAAAACAGGGAGTCTACCTACACCACGTGTTAGATGATTTTTTGAAAATTTAACAACTGGATTTTATCGGCTTTTTCGTTACCAGAGCCCTGTAAAAAGAATTATTCTGTCCAAAATTCGCCATTTTTCGCGCAGGATTACATTACTTTCTCTTAAGAAGTTCCTTCTTAGGACGAGAAAATAAAAATGCATTTGGGTAATATTTGAAAAAACAAAATACAGCAAAATGGCGTTTCTTGTCGACTTATGCAGTAGATTTATCACTAGCTATAAAAACAATTTAAAGAATAAATTTGGACGTTTTCGAAAAAAATGGCTTTTGAGCGTTTCTGAAAATGCCTTTGACGTTGACGAAAACGACGTTAAAGAACTCATTATTAATTAAGAAAGTTCAAGTAGTTCGAGTGGTGGTCCAACAGACATAGCATGTGAAAGTGACAGTGGCTCAGATATAAGCGATGTATTTCCTATCGCCATATGATAGTGTAATGAAGTGTAAATAAGTGTTATATAGAGTGTAGGTTGTGACATGTATTGAAGATGGTGAAGAGCAAAGTGTAGTCATTCCTGAACAAGTTGCTGATTCATACAATATGAGTATCTGGATTGTCACTTTTATAAGTATTTATTTCAAGTTTATTTTCGCGTCCCGGGAACATGTGCTCAGCCTGGCAACAAGTTCGCAACTTCGCTCCCCTTCACTCGTCAAGGTCTGTCACCTACTTCATTTAATCGGACTCTTGATGTCGCTTACGTAGTCGGTTGATCTGCAATTTCTGCGAATTTAGTATTTCCTTCCACTGCGCCCGCTTCGGCCCACTGTGCGCAGGCGGAGCGCAGAGGCGAGCTCAAAACAACGCAGGAGAAAGCACGAGGCGGAAGCGCTTAAATGGACATTTCACTCTCCACAACCTAAAGTATTACTCGCGCAACTTTTCTTGAACGATGGATTGAAGAAGTGCGGGTATAGTGAGAGAATTAGTTACGAAATCGGTCACTAGATTTTAGGAAGCATTGCCAATCTCTGGAGAATTAGTCATGCTTTTGTAACTTTCTTAATAATTTGCGTTTTAACTTTCTCATGAGTTCGAAGTATCTCCTGTGATAGATGTTTACCTGCTTCGGTAATTTCTTTAGATTTTTTGGAGAAAATAACGGACAGAAGTTCTTGTTTTCAAAAGAAAATTGGTTCTATTTCGCTGGAGATGTGTTTAGAATGTCATCAGTGCTCGATGCGAGTTTTTTCCTTCAACTGTTTATTGTGCCAGAGAGGGGAAGTAAGATCGTCGTTCAAGAAAAGTTGCGCGAGTAATACAACCCCCTCTCTCAGTTGCTTCAAAAACTTCCCACCAGCAGTTTCTTCCCTGTTAATCACATAATATCTGCTATTCGTCCTCTCCGAAACTTACTTCACCCACCCTAGCCACCTCGTCTTGGCGGCGCACTTTATCCGGCTTAACTATACTTCTTAAGTAGTTCTTCATCCCCTATTACGGATAATGCAAACATTAACAGGTTAATTCGCGTATTAGCTACATTTTGACATTAGTCGTAATAAATCAATACAGGTAAATAAATATGAAGTGTCTGTGATATTCGAATTTTCAGACTAAATACTTTTTATTTTTGTTTATTCGATTGCGGATTCGATTACACGTACTAAAATTTATCTCACGTCAAATAAATTGTTGTCTGTCTGTAGGAACCGATTTAACTCAAAACCTACGCAATTATCAATATGCAATTTTAACACGTTGTAGATACTACCCATGGGACCAACCGAGTTTTTGTTTTACCATTATATCCCCAACCGTTCGACGCCATGATATTT